ACAAATGCAACAGAATAAAAATCCCAGGGTCAAAGGAAATGCAAATTAAAACCACGCTAAGATTCCACCTCACCCGTTAGAATAGCCATCATCAGCAACACCACCAACAACAGGTGTTGGCGAGGATGTGGGGAAAAAGGAACCCTCTTACACTGTTGGTGGGAATGTAAACTAGTAAAACCACTCTGGAAAAAAATTTGGAGGCTACTTAAAAAGCTAAACATTGATCTACCATATGATCTAGCAATACCATTCTTGGGGATATACCCAAAAGACTGTGACACAGGTTACTCCAGAGGCACCTGCACACCCATGTTTATTGCAGCACTATTCACAATAGCCAAGTTATGGAAACAGCCAAGATGCCCCACCAGTGACAAATGGATTAAGAGAATGTGGTATCTATACACAATGGAATTTTATGCAGCCATGAAGAAGAATGAAATGTTATCATTCGCTGGTAAATGGATGGAATTGGAGAACATCATTCTGAGTGAGGTTAGCCTGGCCCAAAAGACCAAAAATTGTATGTTCTTCCCTCATATGCGGACATTAGATCAAGAGCAAACACAGCAAGGAGATTGAACTTTGATCACAAGATAAAAGCGAGAGCACACAAGGGAGATATGAGGATAGGTAAGACATCTAAAAAATTAGCTAGCATTTGTTGCCCTCAACGCAGAGAAACTAAAGCAGATACCTTTAAAGCAACTGAGGCCAATAGGAGAAGGGGACCAGGAACTAGAGAAAAGGTTAGATCAAAAAGAATTAACCTAGAAGATAACACACACGCACAGGAAATTAATGCGAGTCAACTCCCTGTATAGCTATCCTTATCTCAACTAGCAAAAACCCTGTTCCTTCCTATTACTGCTTATACTCTCTCTTCAAGAAAATTAGAGATAAGGGCAAAATAGTTTCTGCCAGCTATCGAGGGGGTGGGGGGGAAAGGGAGAGGACGGAGTGGGTGGTAAGGGAGGAGGTGGGGGCAGGGGGAGAAATGACCCAAGCATTGTATGCACATATGAATAATAAAAAAAATTTTTTTAATGTCGATACTCCCCAAAGTAATCTACATGTTTAATGCAATTCCCATCAAAATTCCAATGACATTCATTAAAGAGATTGAAAAATCTACTGTTAAATTTATATGGAAACACAAGAGGCCACGAATAGCCAAGGCAATACTCAGTCAAAAGAATAATGCAGGAGGTATCACAATACCTGACTTCAAACTATATTACAAAGCAATAACAATAAAAACAGCATGGTACTGGCACAGAAACAGACATGAAGACCAGTGGAGCAGAATAGAGGATCCAGATATGAAGCCACACAACTATGAGCAACTTATCTTTGACAAAGGAGCTAAAAATATACGATGGAGAAATAGCAGCCTCTTCAACAAAAACTGCTGGGAAAACTGGTTAGCAGTCTGCAAAAAACTGAAACTAGATCCATGTATATCACCCTATACCAAGATTAACTCAAAATGGATCAAGGATCTTAATATCAGACCCCAAACTCTTAAGTTGATACAAGAAAGAGTAGGAAATACTCTGGAGTTAGTAGGTATAGGTAAGAACTTTCTCAATGAAACCCCAGCAGCACAGCAACTAAGAGATAGCATAGATAAATGGGACCTCATAAAACTAAAAAGCTTCTGTTCATCAAAAGAAATGGTCTCTAAACTGAAGAGAACACCCACAGAGTGGGAGAAAATATTTGCCAATATACATCAGACAAAGGACTGATAACCAGAATATACAGGGAACTTAAAAAACTAAATTCTCCCAAAACTAATGAACCAATAAAGAAATGGGCAGTGAACTAAACAGAACTTTCTCAAAAGAAGAAATTCAAATGGCCAGAAAACACATGAAAAAATGCTCACCATCTCTAGCAATAAAGGAAATGCAAATTAAAACCACACTAAGATTCCACCTCACCCCTGTTAGAATAGCCATCATCAGCAACACCACCAACAACAGGTGTTGGCGAGGATGCGGGGAAAAAGGAACCCTCTTACACTGTTGGTGGGAATGTAGACTAGTACAACCACTCTGGAAAAAAATTTGGAGGCTACTTAAAAAGCTGGACATGATCTACCATTTGATCCAGCAATACCACTCTTGGGGATATACCCAAAAGACTGTTACTCCAGAGGCACCTGCACATCCATGTTTATTGCGGCACTATTCACAATAGCCAAGTTATGGAAACAGCCAAGATGCCCCACACTGACGAATGGATTAAGAAAATGTGGTATCTATACACAATGGAATTTTATGCAGCCATGAAGAAGAACGAAATGTTATCATTCGCTGGTAAATGGATGGAATTGGAGAACATCATTCTGAGTGAGGTTAGCCTGGCCCAAAAGACCAAAAATCATATGTTCTCCCTCATATATGGACATTAGATCAAGGGCAAACACATCAAGGGGATTGGACTATGAGCACATGATAAAAGCGAGAGCACACAAGGGAGGGGTGAGGATAGGTAAGACACCTAAAAAACTAGCTAGGATTTGATGCCCTTAATGCAGAGAAACTAAAGCAGATACCTTAAAGCAACTGAGGCCAATAGGAAAAGGGGACCAGGAACTAGAGAAAAGGTTAGATCAAAAAGAATTAACCTAGAAGGTAACACCCACGCACAGGAAATCAATGTGAGTCAATGCCCTGTATAGCTATCCTTATCTCAACCAGCAAAACCCCTTGTTCCTTCCTATTATTGCTTATACTCTCTCTACAACAAAATTAGAGATAAGGGCAAAATAGTTTCTGCTGGGTATTGAGGGGGTGAGGGGGTGGAGTGGGTGGTAAGGGAGGTGGTGGGGGCAGGGGGGAGAAATGAACCAAGCCTTGTATGCACATATGAATAATAAAAGAAAAATGAAAAAAATAAGTAGATAAATAAATAAATAAAATTAACCATGAAAAAAAAATTTTTTTTGAAAGTCTGTATTCACCCCTATAGTTTTAGCACTGAATCGCAACTGTTCTTAGCTTTTCATTTGCCCAGTTGAGTTGTAGGCTTTTGTCTGTTCTTCTATGGCAAAATTCCCATGTCTTATAGCATTGAACATTACTGGACTCTTATGTAACTTTGGACAAGCTGCCTAGCCTTTCTGGAGTCTCAGTTTCTCCATCTATGAAATGGAGATTAGACATACCTAGCGCTATTGAGAGAATTCAATAAGGTGATCTGTACAGTGCATACACTGTACCTGACTTATGGTAAATACTTTGTAAATTTTATCTGCCATTAGTGTCACCATAATCATCAATTCCCAACTTCCAAACCTCTGACTCTTACCCATTAATGAGGGTGCAAGAAGCAGAATTTTTCAGGGGGGTGCATGCATTCATAGGCTCCAAAAAAAGTAATCTGAATAAGTACTATGGTTCACACATATAAATGATTTATTTTAAAATAAATGTAGATGATATTGTGAATAATAAAATGAAGATTCATTCAAAACTTGTTAAAGAGGGCTTACCACTTAACCATGGTTGAAACCATAAGCACCTGCCTAGCAAGCATGAGGCCCTGAGTTCAATACCCAGTACTGCCAAAAATAAATAAATAGTTGGACAACAGTGACTCATGCCTGTAATCCTAGCTACCTGGGAGGCTGCAATTAAGAGGATTGTGGTTTGTGGCCCGCCCAGGCAAATAGTTCAAGAGACCCCATGTTCCAAAATAACCAGATCAAAATGGACTGGAGGTGTGGCTCAAGTGATAGAGCACCTATTTTTCAAGTGCAAAGCCCTGAGTTCAAACCTCAGTCTTACCAAAAATAAATAAATAAAACTGTTGAAGAATTCATAGTAAGTCAGGCAAGTTGGCTCATGCCTGTGATCCTAGCTATCTAAGGATGCTGAGATCTGGAGGATCACAGTTTGAGGCCAGCCCAGGCAAAAACAGTTAGTGAAACTCCTATTCAACCAATAAAAAGCTGGGGGCAGTGGCCTGAATCTGTCATCTCAAGTACATGGGAAATGTCAGTAGGGTGGTCGTTGTTCAGGCCAGCCCAGGCATAAATGAGGGAACCTATACAAAAAATACCTAAATCAAAAAGGGTTGAGGGTGTGGCTCAAGTGGTAGAGCATTTGCCTAACAAACTCAAGTCCCTGAGTTCAAACCCTAGTACTACCAAAAAAAATTTCATAGTAACTTTCTTATATTAATTTCTTTATATCATAGATTCTAGAAGTTGATGTGAGTTTTATTACTGATAAGGGAGATCAGCTTGAAATGCTGAGCTCCATTGTCTCTATCATTGTAGTGTTTCTTCTGTTAGCCTTTCCCAACTCTGTTATACCTGCTTTTAAGGTTTGATGACCCAGACCATGTGGCAGATTTATATGCACCACAGTTTCATACAATATTTTGGTGGAGTTTTCTTTTTATTTCTCATCTAACTAATGGCATTCAATTATGTGTTGACATTTGGTTAAAATTAAAATATGAATGGATACCAGAAAATACCAACATGGTTTTTCCCTACTTTGTTTTGTGAGATGATGATGGCGTATGGAGAGTTAGGTATTTTGTCCTTTTACAACTTCCTGAAATAGCTTTTATCATGTATGAAATCAATTTTTTGTTGTGACAGAAACCCAACTGAAATTAACTAAGATAAAATAAAAATAAGTGACTACTGAAAGTATAAATTGTCATGGGTACATAAAAATTATGTGCACTTTGCAAGACTTGCTGCGTATTTATCATTGCATTACTTATGTATCAAAAAACAAAGCGTTGTCATTTTGGCTGAACCAGATGAAAATATCTCCTTTTCGTGCCTTTTCCATGCTGCTTAGAAGGGCACATATGATAGATCCGTCTTCTGGTTGGAGTATGTGGGCTTTAATTTCAGTCCTAAATAGTGATTCCCACATAAAATTCTACTCTCCCAATGGGGAATAAGTAGACATAGAAGACATAACCTCCCTAAATATTTCACTGTGTCTTTTTTTACTGTTTTCTAGGTTTTTGTCAAGCAGGAAAGGATTTGCGTTTGGTATCATTGTGTATGGAGCAAATTGACATCCCAGCAGGATTCCTCCTGGTTGGGGCCAAATCTCCCAATCTTCCTGAACACATCCTAGTCTGTGCTGTAGACAAGCGATTTCTACCAGATGATCATGGGAAAAATGCACTTTTAGGTGAGTATTTCCTGCCTATAAACTTCCTTCTGGGAGGAAGGAGTTAAAATACAAGCTTATTTAAAATTACCACAGAATTTTAAAATATAGCCAGGCACATCTGTTAGGCTTATACATCTTCAATCCTAGCACTCAGTAGGCCAAGGCAGGAGGATTGTGAGTTTGAGGCCAGCCTGTGCTGTACAATGAGACCCTGTCTCAACAGTTTGAGTATTGTATTGGTTGTAAAGTGATTTTGTTGGTTTGTTTAGTTTGATGCAGGCTTCCTACTTATACAGTATCATCAAAAAGTCTGCAGTCGATACCTTTTATGGAATAGTACTTGGGTTTGAACTCAGGGTCTTGTGCTTGCTAGGCAGTGCTCTACCACTTGAGGGCAAAAGGGCTGCAGCCCTTTTTACTTTTGGTTATTTTTTCAGATAGGGTCCTCATAGCATAGGATTATAGGTGCACATCACCACATCTAGCTTATTTTGTTGAGATGGGATCTTGGTAACTTTTGCTGGAGCTGGTCTTGAGCTGTGATCCTCCCAATCTCTGCTCCTGAGTAGCTGGGTTTATAAATACAAACTACCACTTCCAGCTCACCAATCAGAACGTTGAGTCAGAAAGTGACACTGCACATGCTTTATGAAGGTTTCTTAAATTATAGTTCAGAGCCATCTGTTTCATGGGAAAATGAGTGATAATTTTTATGTTTCGTAAATCTCTCAAAAAAGAATGTGTTCACTTTTTCTTTAAGCACAATTGAGCATATGGTTTAACATAACAGTCTAAGGTAAAGCTCAGACTTTGCACTGAATTAGCAAAGAAGGTTCAGCTATTCTTCAGTAGTATTTATTCAAAATGAACTGGGTCTCAAAAATCATGTGGGACTGTGACATGGAGGCACAACAAATAAAAGCACAGTCCTTTTCCTCACAGAAGTTAGGAATAGTTGGTGATACAGAACAATTGTGGAGAATATTTTTAGCATTTTAAAAACATAATCTTACCAGCATATCTAGAATCCCAGTTACTCAGGAGGCAGAAAGCAGGAGGACCACAATTCAAGGCCACACTGGGAAACTTATTAGTGAGACCCCCACTCAACAAACAGCTAGGTGTGGTGGTGCATACCTGTTATCCCACCTACTAGGAGATAATGGTAGGAGGATTTCAGTCTGAGGCCAACCCTGAGCAAGACCTCATCTGAAAAATAACTAAAGCATTTAAAAGGGCTGGAGTGTGATTCAAGTGGTAGAGCATCTGCTTAGCAAGTATGTAGCCCTGAGTTCAAAACCAAGTACCACTCCCCCCAAAAAAAACCCAAAATGTTATAGTCTTAGCTAATGAAACAGATCAGATATACCTCTGACTACAGATACTGAAAAGTTTCTCATAAAGTCATTTTTGCTCATTGATTCTTCATGAAGAATTCTTTTAGAATATATCATGAAGAAGACACAGAAAGCACCGCTGAATAATATGCTTTTTTATCCTGTATAAGTCAAGAATCTGAGATCAAATCCACAGGCTTTGGAATTAGAACTGAGTTTAAGTCCTAGATTTGAGTCAGGTGTGGTGGTGCACACTTATAATTCCAACATTTGGGAGACTGAGGCAGGAGGATGGTGACTTCAAGACAAGCCTGGATTTGAGGAGCAAGGCCTTGTGTCAAATGACAAAAAAGAAAAAGATCTATCTCAGATTTACCAGGTAGTACTTTAGGACCTTGGAAAAGTAGATTAAGAACTTGAAGTCTCAAGATTTCTCATCTACACAAAAGGACCAATAAGGCCTACCTTGCGCTGCTATAAAAATCAAATGATATGATATTTAAAGGCACTCATTCAGCATAGTGCCTGGCACATATTATTTTCTCTTTAAATATAAATTGCCAGAAGTTTTCACTAGCCATTTCCCCATGGGAAAATGTATTGCAACAATATGGTTGATGGGGATTTTTAGATAAGTACATTGTTGAGATTTTTACATGACTACTGTTCTGTTGTGCAAAAGTTAATATTCATCCAAAATTTTCTTACTTACGATGGATGATTTTAGTATGTATTAAGCCAGAATTTTTTTAAGATTCAGATATTCTAGAACCCTTGTGGACCTCAGTATCAATTTTCTAAAATTTCATATAAATCATACAGATTCTAAAGGCTGGGGAGGAATTGATTTAAAAATATAATGACCCAGTTGGCCATGCTTGTGCCCCAAATCTAACGTGTAATAAGAAGACATGATTGCCAGAAAAACTAGAAAGGTAATTTAGCTGTAAGAGATGTTACTTTTTATTACTGGTAATAGCAAGAACTTTGAATAGATAATAGTTCTTTTGAGCCAAGGTTAATATTGAAACTATACAGAGCATTTAATATTAGAATTCTAACTCTTTATATTTGTTAACTGTCATTTTTTGTTTTGTTTTGTTTTTGTTTTTCAGTGCTGGGGTTTGAACTCAGGGCCTACACCTTGAGCCACTCCATCAGCCCTTTTTGTGATGGGTTTTTTCTAGATAGGGTCTCACACACTACTTGCCCAGGCTGGCTTCAAACTAAGATCTTCCTGATCTCTCCTTCTGAGTAGCTAGGATTATAGGTGTGATCCACTGATGCCCAGCTTTAGCTGTCATTCTTAATGTGAAGGTTCTCTGTGGATTATCCATACCTGTTGCTTCCTCTTCACTCTCATGCTTCTCACCATAAACAGTATTCACAGAGGAAAAGATAAAACCAACCTCACTAGGTTTGTTCATACTAATTCTCACACAAATCATTCCTGAACTACCTGGACCTACCAGATAAGTCTCATTTTTCAGCACTTGATTGTTTCATTTGAAAGGTTCTTATACATTTTTTTTACTGTGTTTTGGATGTGGCACCTCTGCCTCATGGGTCAGGCAATTTTCTATAAAGGATCATATCAAATGTAAGGGACTCTGTCTGCTTTGTTCAGTGCTAAAAACCTGATACCTAAAACAGTGCCTAACATATAGTAGAGCATAAATATTTGTTGAATAGGTGGATGGATGAATGGATGGATGCATGGATGCATGGATGGATGGATGCATGGATGGATGGATGGATGGATGACTTTGGGAACTTGGTGAAGTAGGCAGTCATTGACAACTTTCTGGGGAACCTAAAGATATTGGATATAGCCAAACATTCTCAAATATAATCTATCTCTGAATATATTCTAAGTCATTTATAAAACTGTATTAATATTATTCTAAAAAGAAACATTAATAAACTACCAATTCTATGTAATTGACCAGGGGTTATGACTATCTCTTGTTTGCTACTTTTCTCTAGTGTTTAGCAAAATAACTAGCATATAGATGAGTGCTCAATAAATAATTGTTGCATGAATAATAAGTTAAATTGCACATTTTTAAATACTTTGAATTGATTGTCAGCATTTTAAAATGGGGGCATTGTGAGATACTGCCTGTAATCCTTGTGGCCTTTTCTCTTTTCTCCTTATCTTTGTTAATTATATACCAGATTGGTTCAGGGATTTGAAAAGAGTCACTTCATTAGTGAATTTATTTTCTCTTAGTTATTTGCATATAGATTTATTGAATTTACACAATATGGAATGCCCCTTGTTATCTTCAACTTTTGTCCTGTTCATCTGTATGACAGTAAACGCGTTAAGTGTGTTCATCAGACACAACCAAAGGAACTCACTCTGTTATTTGCCTGCAGTTTTCTTTGTTGTTAAGGGGAACTAAAAAGTTGATTTTCAATAAGGCAGGCCATTGCTTTTTATCCTCCCAACCTTGTTGATTTCCTCTTTCCACATCTCCTGCTCCAATCAGGCCATTGAAAGTCTTACTTTAATTAGTCTGAGTAATTGTTCAGATGTTAGATCTAAAGAAACAATAAGTTAGTTTGAATAGAGGATGAATACAAAGGAAATGGGAATCCAGTGGAACTCAACGTGTGAAAGTACAGCTAGGTCTCATGGAAACTGAAGTCGACAGTGCTGTGAATTTGCATACCTCTGTCCACGCTATGCTTTCCATCTCCTGGCTTCCTCTTCACAGTTGTTTGTTCTGCCCCACACCATAGCTTACATGTGGTTGACATAGCCCCAGCTTAGGTTCAAATTTTACAAAACCTTACAAATCCAGGCTCCAGTACCATCTGGCTGACTTTTGACTTATTTCAAAATTCCAGAAGAGAGTCTTTGTCTCAGAGTAGGTCAGAAAGACATGCTACATAAATTCTACCACAGAATACCATCTACTCTATTTTCTTACCCATTATCCTATTACAGCAGCATTTAAATTATGTACAGTCTTCCATTGTTTAAAAATAACTGCTAATTTTTTTGTTGGGGGGGATGGGTCTGGACATTGAACTCAGGGCTTTGTGCTTACAAAGCAGGCACTCTACCACTTAAGCCACGCCTCCAGTCCACTAATTTTTTTAACCTGTTTTTCCCTTTGAATTATTTCCTTAAAATTAGGATATTATTGAGTCAAAGAATGTGACTATTTCTATGCTATTAGTACACAAAAGTATTGTATCAACTTTCAAGGCTTCCAGTAACACTGTTTTTTTGATTTCAGGATTTTCTGGAAACTGTATTGGCTGTGGAGAAAGAGGATTTCGGTATTTCACAGAATTTTCCAACCACATTAACTTGAAGCTCACCACTCAGCCAAAGAAGCAGAAGCACTTAAAGTACTACCTAGTCAGAACTTCCCAGGGGGTACTGTCAAAGGGGCCTCTTATCTGTTGGAAAGGTAACCAGACTCCTGGAGGGGAAGAGGAGGGAATGGAGATTGTGTGAAGGTGACAAGTGACCCTTGCAGGGTTCAGAGTACAGGTGTGATATAGATAAAAAGCTCAAATTCAGAAGATTCTCCAAAAATGTGACTTGCTCCTTACTATTTTTAACTGCATCATGCAAGTTTAGGACAGTACATGTCTATATTTTGTCTTTTGGGAGGTACTACTCTATGGGGGAAGGAATAGATATTTTCTAGGTCTCTTTTCATTTAGAGAGGACCTCACAGTGTCAGATACTATTTTTACTTCAATTCTTTGATAATCCTCAAAAATCTGCATTTTTGTATTCTAATTTGACCAAAGCAGTCCTAGGATAAACAATGTATTCTTCATAATACATGGAACAAATGTACAATTAAATTGGCAAAGTTTTGTTTCTTTTAAATTAGGAAGAATTTATCTGTAGAAATAAATCCAGTTGAAACTTCGTATCCTCCTGTGTTTGATAGGAACTGCTGCACCTTGTATTCATTGTTCCAATGCATTAGAGTATCTAATCCTTACTCTTAGATGGTGAGATTTTTTTCCCCATAGAATAATTGTCTTTAATGTTTCTATTTGTTGTCTATATGAGATTTTTGTCTGACCATGAAAAATAGCTTACTAAATATAATTTACAATAGCAGATTTGCCTTTGAATCCTTTACCATAATTACTCTTGGTTGCATTTGAAGTGGGATTATCTAATTCCTTAGGGAATAGCTATGTGTTCCAAGCCAGGTGTCATCAGAACTTAAATCTTGCATCCACTGAATCATAACCATGGTGAATTATAGATAACTCTTTATCTTAACAAAGTCTAAAGAATTTTCCTCTAGAAAAATAGTTTTGAATGTTATGAGCCCTAATTAAAGAGTAAAAATAGAATAACTATCATCTATCTTTTAACTTCCTTCTTTAGCTTTTGTTCTGGTTGCATAAAATATGCTTAACTTTTTAGAACAAAATGAGAATTCATCTTTCTAGTGAAGAATAAAATTTGTTAAAGAAGTCTCATGTTTATAGCAGTTGCTATTTTGGAACTAGAATTTTATATGTACCTATGAATATATAAAACATATATAAATATACATGTTTATATAATACACATAATGTTTTAGGCCAAAAAAGTTCTTTATAGAAGGACATAGGGTAGATGCTTGAGAAAATCGCCATCAGCACTGGTATGGACCCTCTATAATTAACTTCGTCATATATAACTACTTTTATTTCTATTTCACTTATTACTTTTTAAGACTAATATAGTATAATTCATTTGTAACATATAACCCAACAGGTTTCAGGGTATTCACTATCTACCTAAATCAGTTATAAGGTGCTGTTAAAATATTACACCAGAGTCTCACTAATAATAGATACTTAATGTGAAGTTTGGTATCATATGATCAGTAATTACTTTGAATATTGACTACCTGTTTCCTTTAATAATAATTGAAAATAATAAGAATTTACTTCTAATTTCTTCTCTTTAATTTTTTTATTACTTCTATGTTTGGACATAAATTAAGGTTGAGTAGAAAAAATTGAAGGTGGTCTAGACCAGACTCAAAGTTACTGTTTTACACTTAAAGAAATCCTAGACAGGAGGTTAACTGGTATTTGAAAAGTTTATTGGGTTTTTATGAATTATTGATATTTTGGCCTCTGTCTTACCCATAAAACTAGCATGCGTGCATTGGTTATGAGTATTTTCCCCTGAGAATGAATCAGTGAAGAAACAAAGGTCTGATTGTTCTTTGCCTTCCAAGCATGACATCTGGCTCTAGGAAGAACTGTGTTCACTAGCCTGAATATTCTGTTGCAGTCAGGATTAGGGGAACAGGATTAGGGGAAGGTGGTCTCTGATAAGAAAGTGCTTGCCATTTAAGGAGCAGCAGTATGTTTTAGAGATTTTATGGATCATGTCCTCATTACCTGTTGAAACAAAATATTGACCTCTTCATATAATGTGATTTTTACTTCTTTCCAGAATGTAGAAGCCGACAATCCTCTGCTGCTTGCCATCCTACTAAACCAAATCCTTCAGTATCATCAACTGTGACCCCAGAAAATGGGACAACTAATGGATATAAAACAGGATTCACTCAGACAGGTATGGGGTATTTTCTTATGTGATTTCAAGCAACATATGTGTATTTAATTAAGCATCTTTCAGCTCACTGTTGACTGGCTTGAATAGAGATATTTTTAAATAAGCATTGAGTTACTGTTAGAATTCAGCAATGAGATGGGTCAGTCTGTGGACAACCAGGACTAATGTTTCAACATCTCCACCAGTGTTAGGCAGGGCATGAATAAAGGAACTGACAACTGGTAGGAGATTTAGCTCAACCATAGGACATGACTTAGGGGAATTCAACAATAGGCAGTAAGTGGAAATCCAAACATCACAACAATCAGGTGGCATATACTGGGGACAGACTCGTAAAGACTGGAATCCCAGGGTAAGACTCTACTTAAGACCACAAAACATTAAAGAGAGTAAGAAACACACTAGCTGGATATAAAGTAAGGTCTCAGGCTGAGCATGTTAGCATATGTCTGTAGTAACAGTACTCATAGCAAGACCCTGCCTCAAAAAGAAAACGAAAAAATAATTCCAAGTTAGGATTGTAGATTGCAATGGATAAATCCAGGATCTAGTTTCTAATGGTCCAAGAAAAAGACTTGGTTACAAATAATCAAATAAAATCAAAGGGCCTGAAACCAGTTTACAGTATCAGGACCAGATCAGCAGAATGGTTGATCTGATGCCTAGATTAATCTAGTAACTAGATTAGATACTAGTTGAAGGTTTCTAAAAATTCGTCCAGTGTAGAGCACTGGTCTAGGCCCCGAGGTCAGGATAAGACTTAGGTGAGACTGAATGACTCAGGTTGCTGAAGCTTGGAAAGCTGTAACTAAATGGAGAACTGCAGATAGTATTTTTAAAAATTATTCAGAATCAGCATAGTTGTATCTTAGGCAAGAAGGAAAGTATTTTAAAAGCATTTGTGAATTATTTTTTCAATTTGTTTTCGTGCCAGTTTACCTATCTGATATGCAAACTTCTTTGCCCATGTGCTTTGAAGACCACCTTAATTTACTACTTAGCAAATTTATTCTTTCAAATTTATGTTTCTGATGAGCTAGCAAATTTATTCTTTTTTTTTTTAGATGAAAGCGATTATTAGACTATGTTACCAATAATATAAGAATAACAAGGTAATTTTATTTGGAGGACTTTTTGCTATGTGCCCATATTCAGTGAAGTCTCCTTATCCTGAATGAAAAAAATCCAACTTTTAAACTATCCAAAAGATTTAGATAGGACCTATGATCTAAGAGGAGAGACCATTTCTCTTTAGAATAAATGAAAGAACATCATGTCTCTAGATATTCAAGAAAGAAAAATGTTGGCATTTGGCTCTCGGCTTTGAAAGATTAGCCTTCATGACATCAATGACATGGCTACATGTCTCTCCTAGAATACTATTTTAGTAATTTGATGGAACCCATAGTACTTATCTGTCATGAAACCATGGGGCCAAATTTAACTAAAACTGCAGTATTAAAAATTTATATTTACTTCATTCCAACAAGAAATGTGTCAAGTGTTTATTATGTTCTAAGAACCTTATCGGATGCTATCAGGCAGGGTTTCAGTACTAGAATATCAACTCCAAGGATTTAAAAACCACTCATAGAAGGAGTTAAAGAACTATAAAACATGTTACTTTTCCTAAGAGGGTAAGATGGATGTATCAATAACAAATTGTACCTGAAAATAATGAAAAGATATTAAAATGTCAATAAGTAGTAATATAATCTTAATCATACCAGGAAATATATTTTGAAAACAAATTTTGTTCTGAAAGAGGAAATCAGGCTTTAGCAAAGGATCCACCCAGCACCATGAGGAGACACAGTCAAGGGAGGGAGAGAAGGTCACTGACTGACTCATAGTGAATACAAGTGGCCAAGTGTTATTCCACTGTTCCTGTGTTCCTTGTGGGAGTGCAAGAGGTCATTTGACCATGAAATTAGTTATTAATAATTTTAGATGCAATCCAGAGAATTGCTAGAAAAAGGTCCTTTATAAGTGAGACTTTGTATCTAAAACTTTCATATTGAGGAATTTATATTTATAAATGAATCAACAATAATTTTTCTGACACATGTTGAATGTAACAGACTGTAAGAATTCCATGTTAACATTATGATATCAATGCAAACGTTAGGATATGCAGCATCCTTCTGAATGATAAATTAAGATTCAGCTTTCCATAGGAAATTATCTTATCCTTAACCTTACTCTGCAATCAGTGCCTATCTGTAATCAGTGTTTCTTAGCTTGAAATGTGAGCAAACACACTGCACTGCATTTGAAGAAGGGATTAATGTACTACTTACATAGCTGTGTCATGAGCTCCACCTGCCAGCCTCTGGATGTTCTGTTCTGGCTGGTTTGCTGCTTATCCCTTGCATATTTTCTTTCAACATTTTTATGGGAGAAAATGGGGGATGAGGGAGAACAGTGGCAGGAGGGAGTCTTAATTAAGATACATTATAAGCACGTGTAAACATCACAATGTATCCTCCTTGTACAACTATTATAAGCTCATAAAAATTTTAAAAATGAAAATAAAAATTTTTTGTCACTGAAAATTCAAATTTTAGCCACCAGTCCCAGTGAACTGTCTTGTCATTTTTACTGAGCATGGCTATGTCTTTATTTGTCTACATTATATGCCACACACACACACACACACACATACATGCAAACACACACACAAATACACATATGCACACACACTGTATTTAATCAGGACAAGAATTCAAGAACAGATTTTTTAAAAAGCTAGGCATGATAGTGCATATCTGTAATCCCAGCACTCTGAGAGGCTGAGGCAGGAGAAGTAAAACTTCAAGGCTAGACTGGGTCACATAGCAAGACCCTGTCTCAAAACAAAATAAAAAATAGATGACCCACAGACAGTGGCTCATATCTATTATCACAGCTACTCAGGAGGTGGAGGTCAGGAGGATCACAGTTCAAGGCCATCCTAGGCAAAAAGTTAGTGAGACCCCCATGTCAACCAATAAGTCAGGCATGGTGGCCTGCACCTGTGATCCCAGTTACTGGGCGGCATAGATAGGAGGATCACAGTCAAAGGCCAGCCCCTGGTTAAAAAAAGAAAGAACTGGCACCAGTGGCTCATCCCTGTAATCCTGGCTACTCAGAAGACAGAGATCAGGAGGATCATGGTTTGAAGCCAGCCTGGGCAAATAGTTCAAGAAACCCTATCTCAAAAAAAACCATCACACACACAAGAAAAGGGGCCTGGTGGAATGACTCAAGGTGTAGGCCCTGAGTGCAAGCCCCAGTACCACAAAAAACAAACAAACAAACAAAAAAACACATAAACTGAAGGCCTCACACTTGCTAGACAGGCACTCTACCACTTAAGTTACTCCAGCTCGTGGGTGAATTTTAGAACATTATGCTGAATGAAGAAATCAGACAAAAGAGTTTCCATGTTGTATGACTCTATTTATGTGTATTATGCAGAAAAAGCAAATATACAGATAAAGGAAGTAATCTAGTGCTTGCCTAAGGCAGAGAGTGAAAAATGAAGATAAACAGAAAATGAACAAGATGGTTTTAACTGGAGGAATAAAAATGTTCTAAAACTAATTTATGCTGATGGTTGTACGAGCTGGTAAAGTCACTAAAACCTATTGAATTAGTATACTTGAAATAGGTAAGTTTTATGACACATAAAATATACTTAATAAAGCCATAAACAATTGATTAAAAAGCTGTTCTGAAAAAATGTACCACCCTTTGGGGTGGTGTTGTTTCTCTTTGAGTTCAGCACCATCTATTTTATTGAGTATCTTGTATGGGATGGGCACTGTCTCGGATCAGAACTTGGAGTCAGAGTCCTGGTATTCAAATACACCTGACATATTGGCTGAGGCTTGGGATACTTTGTTTCCTCACCTGTAAAATTGAAATTAACAACACTTGATTTGCATTTTGTTAGAACTGACAGCTTTGCTACCACACTTCTTCATTGTTCCTCATTATAATTATTCGTTAACCATCTACATTCTCTTATATGCTAAGTGCTTTACGTTCATTTTGTTTTAGTATCCTCCTTGTGCCTAGCAAATGCCTTGAAATAAATGTTACTTGAATTCTACTTTTATTTAAACTTGAAATTAATGCTGGGGATTATTAGTTTGCTGGTGTGTATTATTTGTCCAAATGAAGATAATATGCTCATCTAACAGTAGGAGGACACATGTGTTTGTTTCCTAGCTTTAAGCTGGGTGCAGTGGTTCATGCCTGTAATCCTAGCTACTCAGGATGCAGAGATCAGGAGGATCACAGTTTGAAGACAGCTCTGGGCAAATAGTTTGCAAGACCCTATCTTGAAAATACCCAACACAAAAAAAGGCTGGTAGAGTGGCTCAAGTGGTAGAGCACCTGCCAAACAAGCATGAGTTCCTGAGTTCAAGCCCCAGAAAACCAAAGAAGAAAACCCCAAAACAAAAACAAACCCTAGCTTTAAAGAAGGATAGGGATGAGTTATGGGAACTGCCTCTGTAGCTAATTGAATAACTTTAAAGAAAGAAAATTCTATCAGGAATGAACATTGTATGATTTGGTAGGGGAGAGAAGTTCTAGGTGCTTTTGCCTATGTGGGCTATTTTCCCCCAGAAAACTATTTAAAATAATATTTTATGACTATGTAGGCATAAAGATGAATCTTAGCCAGGCATGGTGGTTCATGCCTGCAATCCCTGCTGTTTGAGAGAGTGTTTGCCTAGAATGCACGAGGCACTGGGTTCAATCACTAGTACTGAAAAAAAACAAAGACGAATCTACTAAAATAACATGTTACATCACTTTCTTGGTTGAGAATATACCTCCGTGATAGAGTGCTTGCCTAGCATATATGTGACTCTGGGTTTGAGCTCCAGCACTGCAAACAAAACAAAACTTTCTTCATTTTTTTCTTCTGATTTGAAAGTAAACTGGAATGTTTTCTTGAGCCCTGAAGATTGTCATGGGCCCTATGCACTATGTCTTCTGTGTCTAAT